AATAAGTCAATCTACCCAGTCAGATTGCGAAATCACCAGCAAGTTGATATCGATCCCAAGTTATAACTCGCGATCGCAAGTTATAAGTCGCGATCGCAAGTTATAAGTCGCGATCGCAAGTTATAAGTTGCGATCGCGAGTTATAAGTTGCGATCGCGAGTTATAAGTTGCGATCGCAAGTTACGCCATCGCAAGTAAGTAACTTGTGACGAGAAAATCCATGGGTCCCTAATGAGCCACCGTTAAGGGTAACAATTTGGCTCTAAAGTTATTCAAATTTCACAAAATTTAAATAGGACAATTCGTGTATTCCATGTTTTAATCACAAAAAGTATTAAATCTCTGCACCTTTCAAGGTATGAATCGTGTAAGCTCTTTACACCCTGACGTTTCTATACAACCAGAAATTAAAGAAAAAAGAAAACACAACAGAACAAAAAAGGCAACTACTCCAAAATATATTTTATCCCTTGTTTAAAAGGGACCAATGGACATTTCGCTGAGGGTGATGTCGGTAAGTCTCATGCGTCCAGTAGTTTCAATTTGGCACCACTGAAGAGATCACATGCCAGTTATTAAAAAATTGTAATGTCTAATTCGCCACATAATTGGTTTGTTTTCTAGCTACTTTGTAAGGGTTCTTACCAACGTGATCTTCAATTAAGCCCTGAGAGTAGGATTGGATTGAACTCACTTTGCCAAAAAACACCTTGCAGAGGTGATTATCTTCTATGCTATTTAGTTCTTCAGTTGACTACACCAATTTTTGAGAAAAGAATACGAGTCGCAAGGGGCATTAATTTGATTTTTCTTTTCACAATGAAAAGTTTTCATAACAAACTGTGATCTTGTGGTCAGTTATTATTACGAAAAATGGCTGATTAAGAAAAAACACTTGAGGTTTTTAATGAAACAGCTGGAGGCATTTCTTTAAGAAAAAAATGTCCTCAATTTAGCACAGACAAGAGCCCAGAAAATTTTAAGAGCAGATTACTGTAACTTTCAAAAAAGGCGTTGTCACATTAATGATTAAAATGTGAAAACCGACTATTCAAGCGTTGTTTCAACTTATAGATGTTTAGATTATGCCTAAACACCGACTAGAGAACACTTGCGAGTTAGAACCCCTCACATGTAACACCCTCACACTCTGTTCAACTGACAATTTCACGGTCAGCGATTTTGAAATGGGCAGACTACTACGCTAGAGAACTCAAAAGAGTTTATCCATCGACGTAACATACCGCGTCGACAAATTCGGTGTCGTAGGGAAAGATCTAACCTTTAAGAGGGGTACGATCGAAATCTGGAAGCCGCTACTTGCGACAGACTGTTAGCCAATTCCAAAATTTAACGTATACAAAATTCTGTTGTTCTGTCTTCTGTCTTGAAGAAATCTTGAAGAAATCTTGAAGAAATCTGGAAGAAACCAAAAAAAGGAATGGTTCTGAAGTTATGAGCCTTAACAACGCCGAAACCTGCAAGGGCTGAAAACAGACTCATTATTCGGTGCGCAACTGCCAACTCCACAAGTTTTCTTTTAGTGATTAGTTCAAAGAAAATGGGCCATAAGTTTGACTTTTCGACACTCTTTTAAACCCGCGAGAAGATATTCAAAACCTTCCTAAAGCGTCGATCAAAATAATCACAGAAGCTACTATGGTAATACTATGGTAATTTAGGCGGGTATGACTATATTTTCGAAACTCAACGTGCGTCGGTTCGGCAACAAAGAATTTAAACAGAAAATACAGAATTAAACTTTCCCTTGACATGCCTTGATTCGATTTATCGAGAAAAAAACTATGACAAGCTGAATCAGTTTTCGTCGTTCTGCGAAATACTTGAAAGTTCGTTGTTTCCGTTCTACCTTACAGGTATGAAAAACTTGTGAAAGGCAAAATTCGATCATTTATTTATATTGAGTATTTCCGAATTTAGCACTACATAAATGTCGGTCTTCATCTCAGAGGCGACAGAGAGCACTCGATTACAAATGTGTCAATCCAGATCTAGATTTACTTTTTGCCTTAAGATTGGCAAAACCGGTCTCTCGTGTGATAAACATTTCCAATGCAGTTGAATTTTTTATTAGAAATATCACTCTTATTAAAGCACCTCTTATAGAATTTCCTCCTGCCAAATCTGTAGCTCGAATTAATTGGAAGTCTCGCGTGACACCCCCGTGACAAACTGACATGCCTAGGTGGGGGAATAACGACCCTCGCTTTGGTACTGCAAGTCAAGACAAAGAAAGCAGCAAACAGGTAAATGAGTGTAATAAGAGAACATACAAATTACTTTGTTCTTAATCGCGAGTTGAACTAAGCCATCTAAAATATGGTTCGGGGTAAAGTTTTGAGCAATGTTGCGATAAAATGCACCCATTAAAATCGATTACGTATCGCAAGACTAGGACAGGGCCAAAATTACAATATTCCTTTTGGGCAAGTAACTTATCAGGATTAGATAAATAATCTCGATCATCAGGTTACATCAGTTGAGTTTCTGCTGACATTAAGTTCCAAGTTATTCGCTAGCTGGCCCAGGCCTGAAGATGACTGAAAAACAGGTGCATGACAAGCTTGAACAAATCAGGTGAACACTTCATTCCTCGTGACACTTTGTTTCGTTACTCTAGATCTACGAGTAACACAACCATCGATTCCTGCTAAGTTGTCTTCGTTACGTGAGGAAACTCAAAGGGCACATGGTGTTTTAGAAACATTCGCAGCACTCGCAGGCTCGATGTTTTTCACCTTGTATGGAGCGATTGAGTGTACTCTGAGCGT